TCTGAAGACGAGACTAGGCCAGAGATGTAAACTCTGACATCAAGGCTGCGCGCGCGCCTGGCACCGGCTCGGAGGCACCACTGTCTTCAAAGGACTACTGGTTCCAGGGTTTAGGCTTTATGCTCGACGGGCGTTGCAGCTACACCTGCTGACTTCTAGTCTATGCAGCCAAAGCCAAATCCGCCCATGTGAAGGTGGCCTGTCTGCCGCTTACTCCGAACATGGCGACCGTACCCCCTTTCGAGCCTGGCGCCAGCTCGGAGGCGCCGCGATCACTGGTTCCAGGATTTAGGCTTGACGCTGGACGAATTTTGAAGGCTTCGGCCTAAACCTGCCAACTTCTAGTCTGCGCAGCCAAAGCAAAATCCGCCGGCTGATTCCGAACATGGCGAACATGCCGGGCACCAGCTCGGAGGTGCCACGGTCTTGAAAGGATCGTTGGTTCCAGGGTTTAGGCTTTACCCTCTACAGGTGTTGCAGGCTTCGGCCTAAACCTGCTAACTTCTAGTCTGCGCAGTTAAAGCCAAAGATCCCCCCCAGACCCTAGATCCTGTCCCGTCTTGGCATTGGCCAGGTGTCGGATCGGTCTGTGCTTGGGACCTGGCCTTCGTCGGTCACGAAGATCGTGGAGCTCATCGAGGGAGCGTGCTACACGTACGACAAGGGGGAGGCCAACATCATGAAGACAGGGATCAAGGCAGGCAAGACTGCTCAGGAGGTTGTGGAAGAGTACGACCCTTGGCAGAAGTTGGTCCAGGAGCTCGATGCCACGATTGCACAGGAAGGCTCCGTGGTGCAAGCGCGCGGTGAGGGCGATGATGACCAGGAGCCAAGCTCATCCGGAGCCAAGGCGGCGGTTGCTGACGCCGCTGATGCTCTGAAGGGGCCGAAGCTTGTGGCGGTGACGGCTGCTGGCATAGATCTGGCTACCGTCGAGGATGGCTGGCTCTCGTACATGGAGAAGATGGTGCAGAAGCATCTTGTTCTGGTTACGGAAAAAGGCCTCTCCCAGTCTCAGCTTGTGAAGGCCCTTGAGAAGCACTCGCTCGCCACAGCTCCTGCT